CGGAATTGTTAAGATACAGAAACGGTATTCCAAAAAAGAAACACGAAGCCGAACCAAGAAGTGGAACAATAAAAGACCAAGAGAAAAGGTGAAATGTCGGTGAAACATAAAGACCTCTGGGAATACCTCTGGTGGTGTTATAGTAGCAGGGGTAGAATTTCATTAAGACTAGGACCATTGTAGCTACGAACGAGAAAAAACACCAGCATTAAAATTTTTACACCCGTAGACACCTGAAGCTGTTTTTTGAGTTATTTCACCGTACTAATTGCTGCGTGTGTCAGGTCAGCAGTTAAGAACAGGGGGAATGTCTTAACGTTTCCCCAAGTTCTCAAAATAATGATGACCATTTAGCTTTTACTGGGGGAGGCATCAGGCATCGTAATTACCCCATGCTGGGAGTGTTAACTCAGCAAAAACCAAACAACCAGAGTAAACTTACACTTTCCGATACACTCCCCTTAAAAAGTTACTCTGGACTATACTATAACTATGAACTCAAAGAGAAGAGAAGGAAATTTAACATCCGAGGTGTTTGGGGTCTTCAAGGTGGGCGATCCGTGATGCACGAAATGTCGGAAAAGAGCTTTATAGCAACTTCCTCTTCTGCTTGCGCTGTATGCTACGAAGCGTTAGAAAATGTTTGCTGGTCGGAACGTTAGATTCCAGCAGCTTCGGGAAAACGGTTAGACACTGCCCCGAGGCGTGTGTACTCAGTGTATCTATGATGTTCGGCGTGCAGTGTTCTGAAGTGGAAATGGAAGGCTGGCTGAACAGCATGAGCAGCAGGCCAAAGTGAGGAATGGTGAGGACCTTGGGGACCACGCCAGACGCTCGTACGTTACTTTCCACTGTCGTACGCCAAGAAGGGGTCTAAAATCTAAACACCTGCACTGCAACACTTATAGTAGCAGTATTCTACTATATTCCGGAATGTTTCATTGTGTTAAAGACCTCTGGGAATTCTGAACTCTTTGGAGGTTACTATTGTGTTAAAGACCTTTGGGAATTTCTACATCCTTGGAGGTTACTTGTAACTAATAAATTTTTACAAAGTCATTTTTTAAACGTCAACCGGGAATCTTGGGCTAATTATGTGGACGTTTTTCTTTTTTGCTTGGTGGATGAAAGATGGAAAGTTTCTAAGACGTGGAAATTATGCCTTGATGACTGGAAACAAGTGGAAATTAATGTGACAGGGAAAATAGTGCGACTCATCTTTCATTGCGATTCTCGACGCTGCGGCGCACATAATTTACGCGCCGAATATAATTACGAGGAGTGCGATGGCGGTCGTATAATTATCGCCAGGGCGCCGCCCGCATAATGGTCGTACATTTATACGGCTTGTCACTTTTCTTATTACAGATGTTTTTTTTTTCTGGCGTCATCGTCGTAATCGCAATCCTTGGCTTAACTCATTTAACTCATCACAAAACAAAAAAATTTTCGTTGCAATTTGTTGAAAAACGATTGATGTAGTAAAATAGTGTATAAAGTATCAAGTGGCTAAACGGGAACTTTACTCACCAGATTGATTGTGCTGCTTCGTAGGCAAATGCGCAGGCGCAATCTCCATCCCGTAGATAATGAATATTATGTACGACTTAGCCGTCCGTATATAAAGTATAACTTTTTGTGTCTAAAAACCGTGAAAAATGTTTTTATTACTTAATAGTAAAGAAAGTTATTTTATAGAGTACGAAAGGGGTTGCCACCAGACTCGAGTTAAAAGAGCTAGTTTAGCAAAAAGACAAATGGGCACATGAATTAAGTCTTGCGGCGAGTGGAAACCGGTGCGCCAAACAAATGCGCGGCTTTCTTGCCGCCTGCCGGGCGAAGTAATGAGAAAAGCGGCTGAAAGGTGCCCGGTTGCTTTTTGCGCTTCCGAACTAATAATGCTAATTGTCATAATCTTTCATGGTGGGGTGGCTTTTATTCCGGAAAGCTTCATTTAATGCAAATACTCGCAAAACTCTCAAATAATAAATACCTCTCGTGGTCATAACCTGAACTAAATAACCTAAAACTTTCTAAAAGAAACATTTTTATATTTTGCATTTTAAAGCGAAATTAAACACCTCACATCAAGAGACTAGTCTTTATGACAAAACACCTGTATCGAGGTTGTAGACCCCTTGAGCCACACCTGCCAAATATGTTTGAAATCCCCGAAAAGACGCAAAGAAAAAAACCAAACATTCCCGGCCTAGACGGAAAGCGTCGGAGCGAAATTTGAATGTGGGCGTTCTTTGGAACTCTTCACGGTGCGAAAGGGACGCCGAGGATGAGCGTCCAGGATTGCCGGGTCCTTTTCGGGCAAAGACCTCATATGCATACGATTGATCTCTCAGAGAGCGGCGCGCCAAACGAAACGAAATGCGAGATTGAAATTTTCGTGCGTTTTCGTGCGCGTCGCACGTGAAATTGAAAACACTTTCCAAAGTTTGCTCCTCCAACATGGAAAGGACTAAAGTCCTAAGTACATATACAAGAATCAATGGATGCGGAATAGAATTTTGTGGTTTCGGAGTGTTGAAAGTGGCCAGTAAACCTGGAACTAAACAAACTGATATTAGATAAAAGGATCAAAGGTTAATCAAAGTAGACAAAGTTTTGGTAATAGTTTTGGGAAGATAATCAAAAAATATTTTAAAATTTTGTATTCAAAAGGTTGGATTTTGGTTCTTCGGCAAATTGCAGTATTAGCATCATAAATTCAGGCGACAATAGAATTTTGGGTCGACGTGGTTCGTTGTCTCCATCCTGGGGGTGCGCGTGTTTCGGTTCGAATGTCGCGCGCGGTCCTGCGGTAAGAAGTAATCAGCGCCACGACCGCGTGCGTCAAGTTGCCCTTTCGACTCACATCCGGTCTAGAAAACCCCTCGAATCCGACCGAAACCCACGCACTTTAAAATTTTCACATTTATTAAAAAACACACTGTATATTTATTCCCACCACCACAGAAAAATAAAAAGACGCAAAAGAAACGGTAAGTTATATTTTTATACTTTGATCGGTTTCTTTTGATGGAAAAGGTATTTTTCATCGTCGCGAACAAAAAGAGCGTCACATCGCATCGCGCGCGCATCCATCGCGTCCATATCGTAGGTGCGTCGTAAAAAGAAGGTGAAAACGTGCGACAAATACTCGAACATTGACAAACGATCCCGCACGTTCGTGCCACGTTCCGCAGACCTTTAGGTATAGATCCCGAGCCGATGACGATGACGTTGGCGGGCTATTATTTTTCGCCGTTTTCTATTTCGTTTGCGCGCGCGAGACGTGTTGCTTTTTCTCCCGTCGAGGAAGCGCACTTCTGTCGCTGACAAGGAAACAATGGACTTTTGTCCGCCATGCGAACAATCCTAACCCGCAAAGAAACGTCTTACCAAAATATATTTTCGGATATCAGTGAGTGAAGAACAAACAAAAATATAAACGAATTATTTTGATTTCCGATTTGATTAAGCGTAATAAATACACAGATTTATATTAATGTCTTGAATTATTAACATAATTGTTGAGAGACATCTATTAAATACTAGTAATATGTAAACATGACATCATGACATGGTAACATGACATAGTTGTGTTGGCAGCACTGGCGGATACGGCGTGTGTGCGCGCAACGCCCTCGTGTGTCAATAGTGCGACATTAAATAATAAACCGGCCATTAATTTGACACGTGAATAGCTCTATTAAGCGACGCAGCGCGGCTCGATGTGACGCAGTGAGCGTGTGCGCTTTCGTATCAATTAATCGCCAGGGAGCGGTTTGTCAATTAGCGAATTTTATTTGCGAACGCGTCCGGCATTTACATACGATACAGCGCCCACAATGAACAGGAAAAAAACACACTGCGTAAAAACGCAAACAGGCCACCACGCCTTTTAAAACAAACAAGAATTAAAAAACAGGTATTTTTATCTTGATAACTATAACAGGTGTATTAGAATAGAAAATTGTAAAAATATATTTAACTAGCTTTAACCCGCGGCTTTGCTCGCGAATATCTAAAATAATGAAGTTGCTTCCGTACGCGTCTGTAGTCACAGAAGAAGTAACAATGAAGTAGAATGGCGGGAAGTTTAAAATGGCTGAAAGTATAGTCTATGGAAGTATAGTGTACAGTCTCCATAGTGTAGTCAATTGGATTTGATGTTGACGTAGCTGTCGGTAATACAGTGTGATAATACAGTGTGATGGTCTATAGTACTTAGGTTTGAGCTTCATTGCTGGAATGCTAGATGGCGTTAAAGTAGTCAAATAGCCCGATGCAGAGGTATTATTGGCTAAACAATTTCTTTATTTTATTTTAAAAAATATTTTTTTTTATTAAATAAAAAGTAGCCTATAACCATTCGGGGACCACTAAGAATATGTGTACAAATTTTCATGATGATCGGTTAAGTAGTTTTTGCGTGAAAGTGTAACAAACATCAGGACTTTCGCATTTATAATATTAGTAGGGATTTTATATCGGTGTTTTTCGTTACGAAGGTTTAGTTTTTATTATTTTGTTTCACTGACGGCAACGACTTGGAAATCTTCTCCGGCCGACGCGTTTTTTCTTCGTTTATTTCCTCGGAGTAAATGCGCATTGCCACATTAGCCGAGCTTTTGGAAGTTCCCGGAGCTTTCAATGGCCGGCAACAAAGGAGCGAGTGCCGCGCGCCGCGTCCTTTTACGATTCGCACTAAATTCGTGGCGCACGGTGGCCGTTCAAGGTAATTTTCTTCCTTTGGTCCGCAGACGCTTGAATTACGGAAAACAGTTCGAGTGTAAATTACGATCTGCGTCGGGGACGCGCAAATTCGACCGAAAACGAATCTTCCTTACCGATGCCAAGCAAAAAACCCAGAATGAAATATCTACGAATCTAATTCACAATTTATAAAATCGTCGATTTAAATAATACGCTCATAAATAATGCGCGCAAATAAAACTGAAATGAAAAACACACATGCAAAGGTTGAACGATATGAAACATCGATGTTTTGATTTATAGCGAATAATTTATTAATAGTTCAATGGCATCCAGCGCATTCAATCGATTTTACTACGAACATTACCAATATTCAGTCTTTTAGTCTAAACAACACGTGGATTTAATATATTAAATTTATAGGTTTATGATCGGGAAACATGCGAGCTAACCGTTTATTAGAAACCAATATTGGTTCAATAAAAGGTTATAAAAGGTTTAAAAATTATTCATTTTCATTTCTGCGTAAATTTGCAAAATAATTTGTTAAACAATTTGTGATTGTAGCATCGGGGCATCTTCCTATTAAATATTCATCTGCCAATGGTTGATATAGTAACTTTCTGCCATCTTTTGCGATTACAAAATCTTGATGAGTAAACCCACTCATAGGAACAGGTTTTAAACAAGTGTTGGTAGTCAATTCGCTGTGTAATCTCTCAACATTCTGAAAAAATCATAAATTTAAAAAAATTGTAAATTTTTTAATTTTTACAAGTTTTTACCTTTTTGGTAGCCATTGCATCATTTAATGCATAAATCAACGTTGTAGGAATATCAATTTTTGATAGATCATACTCTGGAGGAGTGTCCGACCCATAATGTTCCTGATTCATAGCTGGGTCTTTATAATCCAACGCTGCAAACTTTGATGTTTGCATAATTTGCACGTAAAAATCCATAACATAAACAGATATTGTATCACCGCCATTTAAAACTGTCGCGGCGAGTGTTGCAGGATTAAGTTGACATGAAAATCCAAATATGCTTCCCATTATTAGCCAGAAACCCCGTACATTAGCGGTTGTTGGTAGGAAGGCTAGTGTAGCTGTTCGTCTTGATTGATCTGAAGGTTTCAGCACGTAATATGTGCCGGATTTTTTAAGTTGTGCGCTTATTCTTGACCAACCAATATATGGACCTAATCCAACAATGGAAGATACTCTGTCCATGTAAGCTATAGGTGCGATGTGGACTTGTAAAATTACATTGTGTTGTGCAACATGGTCTGGCATCGTTGAGGTGTAGATTAAGGAACATGTAGAACCCATGGAGAATGGTAGGAGTGTTATTGGTTTTCCACCATTTTCAGTGCTTACTGTTTCTATTATTGCTGGGAGATCTATGGTGCCCATTTCATGAGGCCTAGAAAATTAAAATGATCTACAGTGGTCTTAATAGTATATAAAATATCAAGAGCTCTAAACGCTTCACCCCGTGACTAAAATCAGTGATTAATGTACTTTAGTCACGGTTTTGATCATTAGCGATTAAAATTACACTTTACATCTCTCGAAACTTTTACAGTGGAAACAGAAAAAGACTTACGTGAACTCCCAATACTTGGGATCTGCCTGAGTAAGACTTTCGTGTTTGGTATATCTGGTTCCTCTTAAACTGACCAACCAAACATCATACCCTGCTTCAGCCAGAACAAACGCTAGGGAATCTTTACCTACCAAGGTCCAACCCATGGGATTCATGTAGATTCCATGTATAACTAGAATTGTTGGTCCATTGGGATCACCAATTCTGAATTGTACCAAAATATAACCATCTGATGTGGTTACATTGTATTCTGTTGCTGGGTACTTATATCTTTGAACAATATCCGTCTAAAAAATTTCTAATAAATAAAAAACATGGTTTATAAAAAATAATAAAATAAATACTTACTATTTCACCTGACACGTCTGGATTGTAGAAGCACTGTGGTAAAAACCAACGAAAATTATACTGCAACCAATTTGGGCAAGCATTCTTCCAGTTTGAAGCTTGACCAGATAAATACTGGTATTGCAGTAGAAAAATCAACGTTAAAGTTAATGCTCTCATCTTGTCAGACTAGTTATACGTTTTTTTTTTATTTTTGAGTTTTTTTAATTTCTATAAAAAAACATGCTCATAGTATACGTGTTTTTCTTAAATATTTGAACCTGTTTATGTTCATAATCTCAGTTTACTTTATTAAAGCTGATAATTATTCTGCTGATAATGATGAATAGCCATGAACGTCGTAAACTCGGTATTATTATGTTGTCGTGAAGTTATAATGGATATTTATAGGTTTTTGCGACAGGCAAGAAATTTGAAAAATATGTTTGAATGCTCATTAAAATGTTTTTTTGCGAATATTTTACTATAGATTAAAGTACTGTTACACAACTTTTGCATTACTTTACAAAATGACTAGTGAAAATTATATTTTATCAATATTTGATGGTAAAATTGTCGTTTTGCAAATTATTATTTGTTTATTCCTAAAATTTTGCGTTTAAAAATTATGCGAAATATTATATTGAAAAATTTATGACGATTTCTATATATTTTTTAACTGCATATTGGAAAGTAAATATTTCTGCATTTTATATTCATAACTGGCAATAATATAATTTACATGGAAATTTCGTACGCGATTGATGAAAATAACTCGGTTTATTATTGCCTAAACGGTGGAGAATTGCACAAATTCTGCAATTCTGCAATTCATAAACCTGGAAAATACATTTCGAAATATTTTCCAGTTATTATTTTTTTAACATTCTGTTATTTCCAATATGTTGCAATATCACTACTCGTATTGTTGTTGTTTTTGGTCGGTGGACTTATTTTGATGGTTTTGAGAAGTTTACAACTATGGCCTATCAAATCCCGCGAGTATTTCATTCTTCGATTTGCTCGCGTTTTGACTTTAGCCGAAAGTATTCCCGAAACATCCGAGACATTCGATGCCATCGAAAATATAAACAACTCGCCGAGTTTCTGACAACATAACACCGCTTGAAAGTTTGCGCGAATGCCAAGCGACCAACAAGTGAGCAGTGAAACTATACTGCAACATTGAACAAGCAGAGAGTAATGTTTGAGAATCATGAGCAAAACGGTGAACATATTTAGATACCACAATTTTATTAACTCGTGACAGGTTACTTTGGAATGAAATATGTTTTTTTTATTTAAACATTAAAACGTCTCTTTTTCATGGTTTTGAATCAGAAAAAGTGAAAATTTAATCATGGACGGCTTGGGCGGAGAGTAAAGTACTTTAGTCACGGGTTGGTGTTTTGCGCTTATCCAAGGCGCTGGGTGGTCGAATTTCCAAGTTTTAAAATAGAAATTTCAAATACAAAAATTAAATTAAGCCTCACGTGGTTAAAGTACCTCTTAGCGCACTTGATACATAATATACTATTATGATGAAAAGCATTATTTTCAAATCTTGCTTCCTATTTATTACTCTCTTTTCTTCCTAAATTATACTCCTTATGAGATAAGTAATAATGAAATGAGATTTTGTCGCATTGAAGCGTAAATTGCGCCAGTTCCCCTAAGCACATGCATAATGTGATGAAGAACCTCAGCATGTAGGCAACCATTCCAACTCGCGGTTTGTCGTTATGTGCTTATTTATTTGCGCGCGCACCAAATGTTCTCCAACGTAATACGACGTAGTTAGATATGAAAATGCAGAAAACAGGACGATTCCAAACAAACGGTTATAGTTAATGTCCACTCCGCATTGTATAATAACATAAAACGATTTGCTAGATGGAGATGGGAATTGCGCTGGCGCATGAAGTAATAGAAGCAATATTTACCCAGTCTACTAATATTTGCTCAGTAGACTCAGTGGTCCTAGACTTCTAGCTCTAGGTTTGGACCTCCAACGTACGGTGTAGTCCCAACGGACCTAACCTCAAATCCTAATGACACTAGTCGGTTAGCCCGTTGCTGACACTCCACAATTTACAATTTACACGACGGCTTACGGAGGATGGAGGTTAGGTTTGCCGACATCCCGACACATTAAGTTTGAGTTGAGGTTAGGTTAGATTCTGGTATATTCCAGTCGGTAAGATTTGTTGCGGTCGTGGCCAGCCTCAAATCCCCCCCAACAAACATGCAAACATGGAATCAGATTCTACTAGCCTCCTCCTGGACCCTTAGGATTCTGTTGACCGCTCGTCTAGCAATGTTCAAGCAAGATCTCTTGATGTGTGGTGATGACTAGTGGGTTTTTGGTTGTGGAGGAGAGATTAGAATCTTCGACGTCAGCACTTTGTTACTTCCTTCATTGGTGGTGGCCGGGGACGACACGCACTTTACTCTTCATCCGCGCGGATGGGGGAGATATGGAAGAGGTCGTAAAACGCACGTCGCCGGAACTCACGGGAAGCCGGAAACCGAAAGCATCCGCGAGATAAACCAGCTTGCAGCACACCACTTGCGCGAGAGTTGTGTTTGATTTGCCTGCGCGTGTTTCCGAGATGAAAACTTTTTGTCTAAATAGTCTGGTATCTTCTTCAGCGCTCAAGTTTGCAACGTGCGTGTGTTTGAAATATTTCGTTTTGGCGCTGGATTCAGATTCTAATTTCCGGACGGATTGCGCCCGAAGGTATTTTTGGCGTATTCGTTACTATAAATTTAATTATCGTAACCAACTTAGTTAATTACGCCGTTTGCTTCCAACCCGTGAAGACTGTTTCCTTCAACTGCTTCTAGTAACACTCTGCGCGTGGAATTTGCGAATTTCGTGTTTAAAGGATTTTCAACGCTTTATCTAACTCATTAATTATTACATCTGGAACGCACTTGCATCGGATTGCGCTGTGTGTTTGGGAAACTTGTAAACCTCACAACCGCCGGCCGGAAATGGTGGTTTTGGAGAAATGAAGCTGCAACGGTTTCTTTACAAATAGAACTTAAATTCCACGCCTGCGGGCACCGAGCGAGTCGGGGAGCGATTTCCGATTTGTCTGATTAAACAATATTGTTTACGGTGGTCGGCCTCGAACTCCGCATCACTTCCCGTACTTCCCGAACAGCTACGTAGAAGTTAATCGAAGAATAGAGACGTAACAATACTCTATGGGTATTTGTGTTGGTGTATAAACAACAACCGAACAAATTGAAATTAATTTCGTTCGTTTGTGCATTTTCGTGCTTCCTTCGCTACAGGTTGACTTGAAAAGATGGCAGCAAAGATAGTATTCCGTAATGATTGCTTTTGTACGCTTTAATAAAATTGAATCTTCGACGGCGACTCAACAGCGCGGAAGAAATCGTAATATAAAGAAGGTTTTATATTCCGCAATTCATATTCATATTCAAAATTTTGTATTTCACGAGCGCAATTCATTTGCGATTGCAATGCACTTTAGAAAATAATTTAAGCACCACTTAGAGAGCGGGAATAAATTTAATTTCTAAATGGAATACGTGTATCACATCATTAAATTAAAAACTCCGAATTAATTTGTGAAGTTTTCATTGAATCAACTTGTAAACTTTGGTGGAAGAGAACGAAACATTTGTGCGTTTAGACATTCAGACGAGGAGAGAGTTTCCGATTTCGATATAAAGTCGGAAGTTTAAACGCCCGTCGTCGAGCGGTATGTGCCAGCCGCCGCCGCCGCCTCCGCCCGAATTTCTCAACCAGCGCCAGGCTAATTGGATAATTAATGCCTATTAATCGTCGAGATATATTTCTAATTCGATGTGTAATTACACGCCCGTCTTGTGTTACTAATCAAGAAGCAAAGTAACTGAAACAAGCTGGAAAGTAAATGAATTTCGGCGCCTACTTCAGAAAGAGGTCGAAATCAAGTTGACAGTTAAACACTGTTGAACCCTTAAAATACTCAAAACACTTGAAATACTTTGAAAACAGTTAAAACAGTTAAATTGTGTTTCGCGTATTTCAAAAATACACAATTTAAATTCGAGATAAATTTGTGTGTTTGTGTTAAGTTAGGTTAGGTGGAGTTGAGTTGAGGTTATGTTCGCGCGTCGCCGAGACAATATACAATAAATAACCATCGTTTTGTCTGCGCCGTCACGCTGTTCCCGTGTCGCGGTTTTGTGCGTTTATTGCACGCGCTCCTTTCAACATCCATTTAGTTGAATAATTATAATTCACGTCGACTGCCGCGCCTCGCCTTCCACAATAAACTACAACACACGCCGCTCGAGCGCTGTGCGCTGCGTTGAATGTGTTGAATGCGCTGAAAGTGCGCCGCCTCGCCCGCCCGCTTTCGTTCGGCCGCCGCCTCCATTGTCGGCGGGCGACGAGTGATCTCGCGCGGCGGAGACCTCTTCACGGTAATTGCTTGGAACGTTGTCTTCTTTGTGCGGCGCCGAAATCGCTCGGATTGCTTCCAATCTCGCGCAGCAGCCAACTGATTCACGCATTCTGTTGTGGATTGTCGGCCCGAGAGAGGGACTCCATAGACTTGGAATAACGAATAGCACAAATAACACTCACAGACAAACACAAATCACGAAATTTCTTGGTTATTTAACAATTTATCCACCGATTATTATATTTTTTTGTTTAATACCACTTTTTCCACGGTTTTGAGACACAAAAAGTGGTATTTTAATCACGGTCTGTCAAAAGTGTGACTAAAGTACTTTAGTCACGGGTTTTAGTCACGGGTTACAGAGTATGCGCGTGGAAATAAAGTGAAAGTAGAAAAAATAATGCCAAAATTGTTTTGTTGAGTGTGGATAAAGTGTCACTTAGCGCACTTGATGCTTAATATAACATTTTACATTAAATTTAAGTAAATATTTCATCAAAAGTTATTATTTTGTAAATTTTCCACCACAAAGTACATACGTGATAAGTATACACGTAGGTAAATATCTCGTGGAGGCGGCGTACTTCCTTGAAGCTCTTCTAAGCGTTAATACCGCAGCGGCACAGCAATTAGTCCTGAGTTATACGACACGTAATGATGCGCGAGATGAGACGAAAGCCGACTATTCGCGTGCATTATTAAAGGAAAACAAGCGCGCCAATCGAGTTTGAACGGCTTCACGCATAAACAACCCCCAAAAGCATCAAAGCATCAAGGCCCCCGAATACTCTATTCATGCGCGGGGGATTCTAAAATGTTCTTACACACTCAAAATATGTTTCATGTTTCAAAATGATCCAAAATAATCCCAAACGCCTTGATAATGAGCTATAAACCGCGCTGCTTTGTGTAATAATATTAATATATTCAAATTTTTGTGTTTATTAAATTTTTTTGCTTCGTAATTGTCAGCCGTAGGCGTTTTTCGTGGTGGCGCAGCGCTGTGTGACGATCAATTTTGCGCCCGCCCGCAGCGGCCCAATTTCGTGACGCTGTGCGCAATAAATGCTCACCGCCTCCGCGGGCGGTTCCCTATTTTAAATACATCTTTTGGAATGAATGGAAAATAAGCTTTTTTGGATTTGTATATAAATATGTCTTAGAGACGTCTTTTTGGATTATCTAGTTATAATAAGGATTAATTTAAAATTTAAAGTTTAAACCCTTATTTTACCCCAGTTAAAGACTTATTTCTACCTAAAAAGTAGTCTATGTCGTTCTTTATAATCCCATCTATCCCTTATACCAAAATTCATCAAAATGGCTTCAATAATTTAGACGTGAAACAAAAACAAACAAACACTTTCATATAAATTTTTGTTCTAGTGGGATTTTCATCAGTCGACGCAGTCCTGGGTCGAAGTGCAACGTTGCCATGCGACATCGAACCTGACGTACGAGAAGACCGTGTCTACATGGTCCTCTGGTACAGAGATGGCGCTCTTGAAAGCAAACCAATATACAGGTCAGTCACCTTCATAACCAAACAACATAACCAAAATAACACTCAAATTACATTACTATCACACTTTGCCTTATTTTATTAATCAATCGACAATAAATAACAACGTATCAATATCCAACTTCCGGTCAAGTTTCCAACTTGCTAACTTTACCAGACACCAACACTTGATGATACAGAAGAGCAGCTCATGCACCGTGTATCGTATTACGTTCGTGACCTCCTGGAACGCAATCAATCATAACCGCCCGGAACGGGTAGGTCTCTCATATGACCGCCATTGCGCACCGGGCAGACGCAGTATCAATCAATTATATTTCATTTCGTTAATTACATTCTGACTGCTGTACTGTTTCGTATTGGAATTTGAATTTTTCATCGCTTTGTCTTGTTTGCCGTTCCGTTCGCAAGCCTACAGAGAGTAACATCCTTTCGTGACGAGGTGTAACATTCACACGCTTGTATCGATCCGCTAGATTAATCAGTGTTTTGTAATTAACTTAGAAAAGTGTAATTATGGCGGGTGGCGTGCGGTACGACTCCATGCAACACATCCATTCTTATCTCCATTGTATTCATACAATTATATTGTATATCATTAGTATTGTCGTTTGGTTTATATGATAAAGCATTGTCCTGGTGACAATTCTAATACAGTTTATGAATTTTTGTATTGTACGTGTTGATCTCTTGATCTGATGATGAATACTGAAACAACGAGGATGGTAGAGTGCTAGGGGATGTAAAAAAATGTTGAAAAAGTGGCTGACGTGCATAGATGAGTGCCTCGGATTAAATGCAATTGAGTAAAGTGAAGTGGTGGATATTTTATGCATGCCTCCCGCCGATGAGGGTTGGGCACGTGCTCGCAACCCTACAAAAACCGCATTCACGCAATCCTATTCTCTTCATCCTTCACGCTTTCAACAATTTGAACATTTTTAAACCCATCGGAATGTATTTTCTCCTTTCCCCAAGCTTCCCAGTTTAATATTGATCAATAATCATGATGGATATTTGGAATTTCCCGAATGCTTGTTGAGGAATTTTTCAATAAGAGTATTTATCACTCCAAATACCCGCCGCCATGGTGAATATTATTAGATTATGCAGAGCACACCCTTGAAGACACCTCGTAATCACCAATAAGAAGCATCTTCAAAGATCCCCGATGCAATTCCCGTTCATAATTCCACCTCTTCATCACTCATTTGAGAACGAGTCTAAATGAACCACAACCACTAGTACGCGTGATTACTACTCGCGGACTGTAAACTGGGGTCTGGGATGCGGCGGGGGTTGTCGAAAATCAAACCGATATTCAGCTGCACACCGTAGCGTCGCGACGCGCACTCATTCTGAATGATGATTAATACGTGATGAGGGAATTAGATGAAACCCCAAGGCGCTGCTGATTAGAGAAGTGCGACTCGCCCTCAAGAAACCCACCACCTACCAAACTCCTTACCAACTCTCCTCATTCCTTTCAATGCCCACCCGCGACACCCACAGCACAAACATTTCGGTGAAGGATTCTGTCTGTGTTCTGCGTTTCTCTGCGGGTCTCACTTTAACCTGTTTGTTGAAGACCTCTGATCTTTCGATCCGTGTCATCTTTCTGGAACCTCTATTCCAGATCTTGAAGACCTTTTGTGTGGATGTGTAACCTCATTTATTAATTCCTACAGGGAGATGTGGTGGGTAATAAGACACTGACGCTTTTCGGGATTCGCCACTCGAGATAATTTCTCTGACCTGAGGCGTTTGCCTTTGGATCGTGGTGTTGGGTTGCGCAGTTGGAAGTTAAAAAGTGAGCTAATAAATAATCATTTGCGGCTTAAATAATGCTTTAAACAGCCGTGCGCGCTTATTTTCCCCCTGTTGGGTTCGCCCTCGCAGCCGCAAATGCGCGATTTTTGTGTATTCATAAAGAGATAAAAGATAAGAAAAGAAGGTCGAGCTCGTTTGCTCGTTTTCTCAGCGCCTGCAGTCTTCGCAATTCTCGACCTCTCCGTTTTCGGCGCTTTTTTCGCCTTTTCACATTTTGTATTTTGTATTTTGCATTTCGCGCAGCAACTTTAAAGGTTTTTTTTTACATTTTTTTGTGGCTGGTATTGCGGGAGGGCAGTTTTTTCCTTCTCTGCGCGCTGGAGGATTTCTGCTTTCAGTTAGTGATGCTAACAATACTCTAGGGAAGCATACGATTTGGAGCGTGCACATTTTTCGAGCGTTTGAGGGCGAAATGTATACAAAGTATCCGTTTAAAAAGCTTAAAATAAACTTGATACTCAAGAATTTTTTTTAAATGTGCATGGCATCATAATGAATCAAAAGTGAGCCAACCAGGAAAAAAAATAAACGTTTGGTGAGAATCATGAATAATTTAATTTTTTGTTCTGCTTGCTTGCTTGGTAAATAAATTCATTTTGGGTAACGCTTATTTTGGACTCGGGAACAAAGTGGATGTAAAATTAGTGTCAAATTAGTCGGCTACCAATTTTCCATGAGAGTTATACTGCTTTCAAGCAAATTGTGTCATCCACCCCACACACATACCCATATCCCGAGAATCCTTGTTTACGAATCCAGGTGCAAAGCGGGACGCAACGCTTCAAATGGCACGACGTGTCGCGCGCACGATAATTGTCCGGAGTTAATGTACCATAAGAGAATCAAATGTCTTCAAGGCTCATTTGTTATACAAATGTGTACAAATATCCAGCGCGGGCATCCATCCATCCCATCCTACGTGAAAACCTAGGAGGTAACCATCCATGGAACCATTTATATTATCATGTTTACTAGTGTTCCACGTATTTATAGGTTAATGTAATGGAAGTGGTATTTTTCGATGCGTTTAAATGCATGTTAGGCAACACCTAGTTTGTAAAGTTGGTTGCATAACGCATTGAGAAGCATAGAGCATAGTTACGATGATAATGCGTAATTTATTGCCTGCTTTGCTATTCCGCGAGGTGGGCTTACGCCGTCGCGGAGGGCTTACGAGCTGACAGCGTGCCGTATCTTCTAATCTCGACCAAACAGGACTTCCTGCAGGACTCAAGTGCTCGAGTGATGAGCCTCGGTACTTTCAACATTCATATCAACTTTTTCCCTCTTTGCGCGCGTATGCAAAACGCACAAAAGTTTTCCAAGCGCGGAAAAAATCTACACATTTTAACAATACATAACAATACATAACCTCAAACTTTAGTGACATCTGTCTGTTGCGGTTGGAACTGAAAATTTATAGTTTTTATGAGATGTATAGCATTTGTTGCATCGAATACAATGTTATTTATGAAAGTCATAAATAATTGAAATCCTGCTATGCTCTATTAAGACATAAAAAGCTTCGGATTGCAGTATCGACGCCGGCACGGAATGGAATCGAGCGCATGTCGATTTGGTGCGCACCGCACCGATTGCATTTGCATTCGTTCGGGAGCGAACCGCAAAGTGTGTCAGAGTTGGTTAGCGCATCGCAAACAACACAAGAAAGTAATCCGATGCGACGCGCAGTGCGCCTCCGGCTTTAATGATTCACTCGCTGTGAAAGCTTTCGCGGCGGGAATACACACTGCCGCTGAGGATTTGCGTATTTGTCATTTAATAATTTGCAATAGCGCAGCAACAATCCTACCTGGAAACATTGATATCTGTAATTATTTAATTTTGCGTCAATACGGTGCCATAGTATTAAAATATATTAAGCACCAAGTGTGCTAAGTGGAATTTTAACAACGTTTTCACTTTATTTCCACCCCGTGACTAAAACCCGTGACTAAAGTATTTTATTCACGGTTTTAGCCACTCGTGATTAAATTTCCACTTTTCGTACCTCAAAACCGTGAAAAAAGTGTTAAAAGTAAAAAAATTAAGTTTTTAAGCTCTCAATTTCCATTATCACAAATTGCAAACGAATAAAAACCAGAATAAACAATTTAGCATGAAACTATCCTGAATCTTTCCCCGCATGCCGGATGCGGAAGTAATGCGGCGCACGTTGCGAAAACGTAAGACACATTAAAGTATTTCCTTAAATGGGTTATCAAAGTACAGGCGGCTGCGTCGGATGGGGAGCGAAACGCACCCGCTCACATTTACAATTCGCCGTTTTATTGGCATCGAGTACCTGCGAGTGGCATTTATGTTTCGCCGTCAATTAAGCGCGGAAGGGAGCCGCAGCTGATGGCTGATGGCCTTTACTTCTCGCAACGCGCTCGGTTTGTTTTTATATCAATGCATAAATTTTCCAATTTGATTATCAATTTGTGCGCGTGTGTGTCGCGCGCGACCTGGAAGGAATTGCCGGCGTTGTTTTTATTTTTCACTCAGATGGCAATTTTTATTGTGGTCGATTTGCATTTTGATATCGTCAACGAAAAGAGATTTTATTATACAGTGTGTTTATGTCTGGGGAAAATAAATAAATGTTGCATTAGTTTATTTTGATGAAATGTAATATGAACACATTGTATATGAATGGATGGTGCACACTCCAGGTAACATTAAATTTATTGCTGCGTCGTTTTGGAGTTCGCTTTACGATTACGCCCTTTATATTTTATAAAAACAACCCGTTCGCCCTCACGGCGCTGCGGAGAGTAACATTTACCATTTCGCAATAATAATATACTTTCCGTGTTTGCCTAAGTGCAAGTTTCAGGAGTTACACGCCGGTCGTGTAAAATTATTAATATTTGAGGAAAGTAATTAAACTCTTGCGCCTCCAACCACTAAAACTTAAATATTCACATACATAGTGAATGTTATTTTATATTTATAGTATAAAAACATCTTTTTTATCCTCGGGCATAAGTTTTTAATAAAAATTTAATTCACTTTCATTTTCTGTCGATTGCATCAATAAGTTTCCTAATTTTATTTAAAAAAAAATTAGAAATGCTAATAATGCACTTCAGCGCCACCTCTGATTGAATTATTTAACTAAAATTATATTTGAATCTCTACCCAAATATTTATCTCAAATTTGAGACCCT